TATCTACTCACATTACAAAATATGAACTAGTAGAGGTTAATTTACTCTACCTTACATTCTGGAAAATGTAGTGACATATACCACAGTGATGGAATTTGTGCTTCTGAGACAAAACTAAAGAAATTAATAGTTTCTTTTAAGCGGGTGGTGGAGCAACATAGGGAAGACGGGTTTTGTTGACTAGAAAAAGGTGATGTAACTGCTGCAGAATGGGGATTTGCCTAGATTTATAGTGGATTTTCTGTGCTTAAAAGTCAAAGGAAGATTAGATCAGGAAAAGCATAGATCAGAAATGCATATTCTATATCTGCTGCTTGAAGTATTTAAAAAGAAGTATTAAAAATAGCCAATGAGATAACATTTGCAGGGTGAACTAAATAATGAATTAGCTCTAATAAATGCTATGTTTGGGGAGCAAAACCTGCAGGAGTTCAAGCTAGAGACTACACCTAACAATAACACCCAGTGCAGAGTCCAAATTGGTAAAATATGTCACGGACWGTTAAATTAGTGCAGATGTGTATCCAGCCACTCTTGCCAAAGCCCATCAGTCCTAGATGCAAGTTTTACAATCGTCTTGGTYGAATTTCATGTAGCAAGCATCAGTTGTTCCACTTTTTCAGCCTRTTGAGGTCCCCCCAAATGTCATGTTTTGCAGGAATGTGGGATTGGTCCCCAAGCATGCTTCTTGTTCAGGCAATCTCTGCCATCATGCTATCCTGAACCTGCTTTCCCATTATCCACCACTACCTTTCTGACAGAACATCAGCTTTTAGCTCTTTCGGTTCTCTTCCAGCTTAGGTTTGATGGGACTGTTTCTCTATCCTTCAGTAACCTAGTTTAAAGCCATCCTTATGAGGCTGGCAAGACAGTTGGCAAAGGCATTCTTGGCCCATTTTGTTAGGTGAATCCTCTCTCTATCCATCAGATGTCATTCCTCAAAAATCCTGGAGGAACCTGGAAATGTCTGAATTACTACAATGATATTAGCAGCATTTGTTTGTCTATGCTGATCTTTAGCCCATGTCCCTCACAGCAGGTCMCCATCCAGAGGGTAACAAGTGAAGAACTGCTGCTCCTGGTAATCAGTTAATTTTTCAGCTGCGTTTCACTGTTCTGTCCCCTCCTCCTGATATGTAAATGAACTGCCTGTGATCAACAGATCATGAAGATATCCATTTATGTTAYTTTTTCATGTCAGATGTCACTCAAATGCGGTTTCTATTCATTAACTACATCTGATAGCATCTTCATGCACTTCCTCCTTTTATACCAGTTACTGTAGAAGCTCCAGACTATTTGCTTTTCAATCATTCCATTAAATTACCTTATCTCAGGCATTCCTYTACCACTCATTTTCCATTATCTGTAGTACTGCAGCTCAAAATTTTCTTTGTTTCTGTGGCAAATCTCTTATTACTATCATGTCACAGTCTATTATTCTTCACTTGTCAGAAAACAASATGCTGTATCAGCAGCAACAGTAATGAAGACTTGTTTTGTATCAGTTATGTCCTCTCTTCTTATCACAATAACCCAAGCTTCCCTGACAGTATTCCATGCCCTCCCATGTCCTACACAATATCCCAATGTCTCTTCTAGGCCTCCCTGCAACATATCCCATTCCTGCCCTTTTACTACCCAACTTCTCTCAGTGAGTCATGTCCCAAAGACTCATAGCTCCCCCATATCTCTTGCTTGACTAARATAAGACATAATATATATTGACAATACGTGCCGTGACCTATCGTGTAATGAGCTGACCAATACTTATGGACAACCACTCTTGGAAAAATAGATACACAGCATTGTTTCTTCCTTCCCTCATTCAGGAGCTAAACGAGCCTCCCTTTTCTCCCAAATTTCCCACTTTTAGGAAAGGTGTGAGAATACCATACCTCTGAATCCTCTTACACTCTACAGAATTTGCCTGAAATTAGTGGGTGGATTGAGAGAAGGAAAGGTGGGTGAGAGGCTAACGGGCATTGGCAGTGCTGTTGAGTAAGCAAATACAACCACAGAGCTGACTCTGCTTCCTCTTTCTGTTAGCGTCACTCATCTGTCATGTGATTTTTTTTCCCTTTAAATGGACAACTGTACYGCTGAGAAGTTAATCAGAAACTTTCTTTAATAAAGGCAAGGCCACAGAAAATTGATAAAGCGCTGGCTTTAGCCCAAGCCTAAGCAGTAACAAAAAGAAGTTTCTGCCAGGCACCAGGTTAATGACCTCTGTGAAACTTGWGCAGTATTTGGGCAGACAGAAAAATCACAACTTATTACTTCATCATGCTAGTCCTCAACTGAACATTTCCCTCGAACACCACTTTTATGATTTGTAGGGACATTTCATGGGAACTGCTACCAGCTCTAGCTAAGGTACTTTTAATGTCTCACTTCCTTTCATCCTGGAGATAGTATATTCAGTCAGGTCGTGGCCAAAGAATACATCTACAGGCATAATTTTAATGCCAGGCGGGGGGGTGCTGGTTACAGACAATTTTGGCTCCATAAAAATGTACTATACTTTCATTTGTTGAGAGTATTATTAAATTCTATCTTAAATTAAACATTGCATTGGACTACCCTGTCAATTTTACAAACAGAATTTTTTTTTCCTAGAGTTTTCTTGCTGGAGATTTCTGCGAAAAATGTAGTAAATTGATTTGGAGCAGTTTCAGATACAAATTGTTTTTAAAACAAATATGTGTAAAAAGTCACTTAATTCAGAAAGATTTTCTCCCAGTATTTGATCTATAACTCTCTAAAATTTTTTTTGAAGTACTGTACTTGAAAATGGAAACAAGCTAGGAAGAGGTGACCATTTTTGCATTTATTCTCCTAATGATAGCTGTGAATAATGATATTCAAATGAAATGTTATTAATAAGAAAAACTCCAAGCAGCATCATCCTACAGCTTCTCCTGGATGTGACAGAACTTGGATTTCTGCATCACATCCAACYTCTGGCTTCTACAGAACTATAAAAATCAAATAAAAATTCTATGTGCATGGCAAACACAGCTCAAAATGGATCAAAATAATGGTAAAAGGAGGAGCCAAATACAGGCAGTGGCCTACTTGCMACTCTTCTTTCAACCAACTTCTAATCTCCAGCCACCAGGCTGATTCCTCCAACAATCCTATTTTATTTATTTGCTTTTGCYATCTATGGAGAACCAGATACTAGCAGTTTTTGTCTCAAACATTCTGTTACAATGGGAAGGTGTGATCTGAAGGTGAGGAGATGGGGCARTGCTGTTCTTACCCAGTTTCCTGCTCCACCTTGACACCTGTGCTTAGTGACCCATCCACAYTCACCTCCTGGAGGAGGGCTCCAAGGGCTGGCTGTGCATGCGTGAACRAAACAGGGCAAAATATCTGGTTTATGTAAGAGGCTTGCAAGTTGTCTATAAAAGAAGGCGGGTCAGGCCCTCTCACACACTTTTTCCTTTCATTTTCTCTCTCAGTTCCAGTTCCAGGTCTTCCAATACAGCAGGACCAACGCAGGATCTGAGGATTGGTGATATTCTTTGTTCTCTCTCTCCATTTTTCTTTCTTTATTTCTCTCCCCCCTTGCTTTGCCTGGGCAAAATGCGGCTGCTATATTCTAACCCCCCCCATACTGAACTTTGCTGTGGGTGTGGGGAGCTTGTGGAAGTGTGCTGTGGCTTCTGGGCCAGCACCTTTAAGAAATTTGTTTTCCAAGTTCAGAATGTAATGAAGTATATGGTATAAAATTAAGGACTTGTTAGCCACCATGTTTGTGGAAATGTATTTTAAGAATTTAAGAGCTTGTTAACCAAACTTGAGACTAAACAGTGGGCTGGTTGCCGTAATTAAAAATGCAAGAGTTCCCTGTCTTTGTTCAGCTTGGTGAGAMTTTACAACTAACATCACCCCACTACCGATGGGCTGTGACACCATCCTTACTCTATTTAAAAATGAAAGTAGGAACCTTTATACGCATGTACACCATCTGCTCCCTTAGATCTGGTTTACATGAGAGGCCAATCTGCAAAAGCACCAGGTGGCATTTTGCTTGGCTTCTCCCACCAAATGCCGTGACAGCATTTGGCTTCCAAGAGGCACCAAGCCTTTATTATTTAAGCAGGAAAAGAGCGTCTCCCCTTCCTTCCCTCAGAGAAGCAGCCTCTCCCAYACACAATTCTTTTTATCTGTTTCCCCACGGTTCCAGCCACCTTTATAATTCTGTGCGCATACCTTTACATGATTTTATCTTTTTTTTTTTTGCCAGTCAGTCTTGACTTGACTGACGCTATTCAGCAACCTCAGGGAACAGAAAATTTCTATTCGCTATATTATTTATCACCCTTGAGGCCCATTCCCATGTACGGCCGGAGCAGAGCCCTTAGTGCCCGCGGTCGGAGGGCCGGGGGCTGCGTAAAGCAGAGCACATTCATAGAARACTGTCTATTCTCCTCCAGAGCGCTGCTAAACTCCCGTACTCTAAGCTACAGCCGCTTATTTTGGGGACCGCTACTCCCGCTGGCCGCAGACCCGCCACTCCTCGCTAAGACACGGAGCGAMAGCAGCGCGCTCAAGGGGGATCGGCCGCCGCGCTCTCCGCCGTGAGGGGCGGCCCCGCCGCGGAGCGCCCGCTGGCGGCAGCTGAGGGGCAGGGCCGGCGCCCGCAATGCCCGCAATGCCCGCCATGCCCGCCGCGGAGCGCGCCGGGAGCTGTAGTTCCGCGGCCGCACGGCCCCGTTCCCCCGCTGCTTCCCCGAGCGGCGCGGCGGCTCCGCCAGACCCGCTCCGGCCCCGCGGCTTCCCGGTGGGCAGCCCCGCTCGCCCAGGCCGGGCATGCGGCCGCTGCTGCCGCGGCTCCTCCCCGCGCTGTGCTCGGCGGCGGCCCGAGCCCTGCTGGCCGGGCGGGCCGGGTCCATGGCGCTGCGGCCGGCGGCGGGAGCGGGACGGGCCGGGAGCGATGCCCGGAGCGCGGCCCCGGAGCACGGTGAGAGGCGGCGGGGCGGCGGTGCGGGACGGGGGAGAGGGCAGGCGCTTGCGAGGCCCCGCGCCCGCCTCCCGCCGGCTGCGGGCGGACGCTGGGGCGYAGGGGAAAACTTTCCAACCTAATTGTGGGCTCTTGCTAAAAGGTCTSCGGTGCTTCCCTGGCTGTCCCGCTTGGTCCCCAGGCTTGCAGACGGCGTGTGCATCCGATCTGACTGAATGCGAAACCTAACATTTTTCTCCCCTAAGTTTATTACTGCTCCTTGTTTTTAGTTCCCTATCTGTGTATCTGACCTGGCTGAATACTATCCTCTCTATTTTTCCCCCCAAAAAAACTTCTTTTTTTTTTTTTTTTCTTCTTGGCTATGTAAACTGTAGTGCCAGCGCTGGAGGTTCAAAATGTCTCAACACTTAAGACCGTCTACTTCTGCAGCAGCTCTCAGTTAAACTGTCTCTAAAGGATTCATTTTTTTATTTAAAATATGAATAGAAAGCAGCGTATAAAAGCTCAGCAAAAGTCAAAGGAGCCCCGACCCTCTTGCCATCAGGCAGATGGGAGGGAGTGGAAACAGGTCCCTGTGCAGAGAGGTAGAAGAATCCCCTCCCGGCATCTCTTGCCCTCCCYGGTGCCCTTACAGAATAGGTTCGAGGCTTTGGATCTCGAGGATCAGGCAGACAACAGTGGAGAAGAAGGTCTTTCTGGAGGGTCATCCACATCAATGCGATCAAACAGGTGGATCACAAATKCAGGTATTAAGAAGAAAAGAAGGATGGTGACTCGCTTCTGAGGGAGGCTCCCATTGTGCAGCAGGAAAGCCATGAAGCAGTCATCCTCAGGGAAAGGTGGTGGGGTGGCTGGAGCGCTGCAGTGGGTGGCTACAAGCTCTTCAGAGGGACAGGCGAGGAAGGAGAGGCTGTGGAGTGTCTCTGTACCTCAGGGAGTGTTTTGACTGCACTGAGCATGAGGATGATGATGATAAGGTTGAATGCCTAGGAGTGAGAACCAGGGAAGGTGGGTAAGCCAGATATCCTGATGGGAGTCTGTTACAGAGCACCCAACCGAGAGGCAGATGGAATATCCTGTAAGCAGCTGACTGATGTTTCACAATCCCCAGCCCTTGTTCTTGTGGAAGACTTTACCCTGGAAACTCAACACAGTGGAAGGGAGGCAGTCTAGGAGGTTCCTGGAGCATTTGGAAGATAACTTCCTGAYACAGCTGGTGAGGGAGCCTACAGGGACAGTGTCCTGCTAGACCTGCTCTTTATGAACAGAGAAGGGCTGGTTGGAGGCTGCTTTGGGCAGAGYGAYCACAATGTGATATGAGTTTTCAATACTTGAAGTAACGAGGGGCACAAAAASGTTTTCTGCCTTGGACTTTCAGAGGGCAGACTGTTGTATTCMGGACACTGATTTGGAGAGATCCATGGGAAGCTCTTAAAAACAGCAGGGCCCAGGAAGGCTGGACATACTTTCAGAARGAAATCCTGAAGGTGAAGGATCAGGCCATCCCTATGTGCTGAAAGACAAGCTGGTAGGAAAGAAGACTAGCCTGGCTGAGGAGGGAGCTTTCACAGGAACTTGGGGAAAAARGAGGGTGTATCACMTTTGCAAAAAGGGGCAGGCAACTCRGAAGTGTTTAAGGATRTTGTTAGGTCATKCAGAGAGAAAATTAGAGGGGTGAAAGCTCAGTTAGAASTTAATCTGACCACTTTTATTAGGGAAAATGAAAAGTGTTTTTCTAAATACATTAATAACAGAAGGGGGGCCAAGGAAAACCTCCATTCTTTATTGGATGTGGAGGTGAGTATAGTCACCAAAGATGAAAAAAGGCTGAGATAATTAACACCTTCTTTGTCTCCATTTTCAACAGTAAGACTTGTTATCTTCAGGACAGCTGGCCCCAGCTGAGCTGGTAGACAGGGACAAGAAGCAGAATGGACACCCTGTAGTCCAGAAGGGAGTAATTAGTGACTTGCTTAACACTTAGATGCTCACAAGTGTATGGAGCTGGGTGCAATCCATCCTAAGGTAGTGAGGGAGCTGGCAGAAGAGCTTGCTAAGCCACWCTTCATCATCCATCTGTCATCAGTCCTGGCTGACCAGTGAGTTCCCAGGTGACTGGGGATTGGCCAGTGTGACACCAATCTATAAGAAATGCAGAGAGGAGGATCTGCCTGACCACAGTGCCCAGCAAGGTGATGGAGCAGATCACGCTAAGTGTGATCATACAGCACATACAGGACAATCAAGGGATCAGACCCAGCCAGCACAGTTTAGGAAAGGCAAATAATTCCTGACCAATTTGATCTCCTTTTATGATGAGATGACCTGCCTGATGGATGAGAAGAAGGCTGTGGATGTTGTCTACCTGGATTTCAGCAAAGCCTTTAACACCRTCTCCCATAGCATATTCCTGGAATGGCTGTCAGCTCATGGCTTGGACAGRTGCACTCTKCTCTGRGTTAAGATCTGGCTTTACAGCCAGGCCCAGAGAATGGTGGTCAGTGATGCTGCATTCAGTGGGCAGCCAGTCACTASTGGKGTCCCCAGGCATYGGTGTTGGGCCCAGTCCTRTTCAATATCTTTATTGATAATCTGGATGAGGGAATCAAGTCCACCGCTAGCAAATTCACAGATGGAATGTTGATCTGCTGGAGGGTAGGAAGGCTSTGCAGAAGGACCTGGACAGGCTGGATTGAWGGGCTGAATCCARTGATAGGAGGTTCAGTGRGACCAAGTGCTGGGTTCTGCACTTTGGCCACAGCACCCCTGTGCCGCACTAGAGGCTGGGGACAGAGTGGCTGGAAAGTGGCTCAGCAGAAAAGGACCTGGGCTACTGATTGCCATTTGATGGAACATGAGCCAGCAGTTTGCCCAGGTGGCCAAGAAGGCCAATGGCATCCTGACCTGWATCAGCAACAGAGTGGCCAGCAGGACCAGGGCAGTGATTGTCCCAATGCACTTGGCACCGGTAAGGCCATGCCTCAAGTCCTGTGTCCAGTTGTGGGCCCCTCAATTCAGGAAGGACATTGAGGTACTGGAGCATGTCCAGAGAAGGGCAGTGGAGCTGTGGAAGGATCTGGAGCACAAGTCTGATGAGTAGCTGAGGGAGCTGGGGGTGTTTAGCCTGGAGAAAAGAAGGCTCAGGAGGATCTTATCTCTCCAATTGCCTGAAAGGAGGGTGTAGCCAGATGGGGGTTGGCCTCTTCTCCCAGGCAAACAGTGACAGGACAAGAGGACATAGGCTTAAACTGCACTAGGGGAGATTTATGTTGGGCATTAGGAAGAAATTCTTCACAGAAAGGGTGGTTAGATATTGGAATGGCCTGTCCAGAGAGGTGTTGCAGTCACTTGGTTCTGTTTAAGCAAAGGCTGGACATGGCACTTAGTGCCATGGTCTTGCTGCAAGGTGGTGTTCAGTCATAAGATGTAGTTGATGATCTCAGATCTCAGATTATCTCTTTTCCAACCTAAACATATTAAACCATTAACATAAACCTAGTGARCAGGCAACAGTGTCTGAAGACCAAATCTCACTGTGATCTGTGACATTTATGTGTCAAATATTATGGAAGATTATTCTATCTGAAACTAAAACCTGATTATGTAGAGAAGGCAGCTGGGAACAGTGCAATCAAATATGTTTTATCATTCCTTATTTTTGTGGTCTCTCCTTTACGAGCTAGATGTATCATAATTTTTTTTTTCTGCTGGAAAGATGACAAATGCCCATGAAAATCAGCAGTCACTTAACAAATAAAAATAAGCTACTCATATGAAATTCAGGTAAATATAATTAAGGATGCAATTAAGAAAAAAGAGTTTATCCTGTAACAGCATGATAGTCAAGAAGTTCCTATGGAAGCTGGTGTTTTTACTCTAGGTTTCAGATTATCAACGTTATGCCAAGAGTTTTGAAAAGTCTTGTTTTCAGTTTGTTTTAGTGACTAGAATGCAATTCTTTAATGTTGTTGCTGATTTCTTTAATTAGTATTTCCAAAAAATGGATTTCTTTTTTGCTAGAGGCACAACCTGTAGAATTTAGACACAGTGCCTGTTCATTTCAGTTTACTGAAGGTGCATTGTTAATTACTTTAGCTATGCCTTTACTATTGTGAACAGGCAGCAYTTTTCAAAGTGGCACAAGTATGTTCCTTTTTGAGTGGACAGAGCAAAGCAAATCTATCATCTCCAATATACATCCCTCCGATTTATGTAAGTCCTTGTTTTGTAGCTAACGCTACCTTAACAAACCCCTTTTGCTCCCAGCTGATTATGATTCTGAATTTTCAGTTTTTCTGCCCAAGCCTGACCTACTTGTTTATGAGTTTCATGGACCTCTGTCTTGTCCTTCAGTTTTAGATCTCTTTGGATCTAGGGCTGTTGTTTTCTGTATGCTTGTGGATCATCGGAAACAATCTGTTTTGTGTGAGCTTTAATCTAAATGTTAAGTAGTGATTTTATTATTGCTTTAGCATCTGTTTGTTATGTGCAGTTCTTTAGTGTCTCCAGGGGGAACAAGTAACAAATTGAAATACTTTGTTTCCTTTGAACAGCCTCAGGGATAAAGTTAGTTGTCAGACTGCAACCAGAGAGTGATTTATGCSTCCCTACTTTAGCATGGAGTGAATTAGCATTTAAACAGGTTGTATTTTTGTTTATCTTCTCCAGCATAAAATGATATATGTAAGAAACATTCCACAGGGTAATAATCACCCACACTGGGTCTGTAATATTGATTTTATACGTGTGTAGCCTTGCATGCCACAAGAACATAGTATGTATGCACTTTTGCTGCCAAATTTTCCTCTTAGGCCAGATTTGGGCCATCTGCACTGGTCATGAGAGGAGCTTTGAAAGTGCGTTGTCTGTAGTAATGAGCTGCCCTGGGATAAACTGCAATTTTGACATACAGCTCCTTCCACTACAGTAATCCCATTGTGGAGTTGTCCCAAAAGAGTATTGCTGAGTGCCTGATTACATGCACGTTGTTTGCTGCTTGAGAAGATTTTGCTTATTCTTTTTTTTAAGGTATAACTTAATATGCCAATATTTTACTGATGCAGAAATGCAAAGTAGACATAAGGAAATGACTCATGCTCAGTTAGTACTCTTGGGGAAAAGATCTTTTTAAAAAACTTGTTAGAGGAATTAYTCTGTCCTGTCTAATTCAAAATATTCTGTGATTGTGGTGTTACTCTGAATTAGAGGTTCATGTATATCTTTGTACATGCAAGATGTATTTTGATTTACATTGATTTTCTTCTTTAGCTTAAATACTAAAAGTCAGTTCTTAGAATGAGAAATTCAGAYAATTGCTGTCTAAAACATGCTATACTGTGTGGGAGATGCAGGAATAATCATCTCATTCCTGAATGGTAGAGKCAGCTGAGAACCCTTTGTTATATGTGGAATGGTAAGATTCTCTTCCTGCTTCTTCATGCCTCATTTTCAGTGTGTTTACAATGGAATTCATTTGCCAGTCTTTGTCTGCACTGAATTTCATATGCCATTACTGTTATCTAGCATGAACTTTATGTGATGTCTGAAGACTATTATTTTTATGCTYCGTTACAAGTTTAGGTTTTATTTTTTGCATAAATTTCATTTATTTGGGACCCAACAAGACCATAGGTTATTAAAATATAGAAGGTTGAACTCTCTTTTTTTGCTAATTCACATAAAAGATTAAAGTATTTTTACTGATCTGTTGAGAAGGAAGAAGAATAGGATTCTTGTGGGGTTATATGTCAATATTTATTTGCTGATCATTAACAAAATGTTTACTTGGTGGGTTGCCTATGTATGATATCTCTTAGCTGTTTGTATCAAAAACTAAGACCCAGTGTGTTGTTTTAAATATATTACAGATGGGCTGGAAAATGTACAGCAAAAGAAAATCTTCAAAGAGAGTAAGGAAGAAACACCACAGGGAGAAGAGCCATGTGCTACCGATTCAATAGACTCTCTAATGGCAGAAATGCCATTTGTGGATACAGATATTGAAGATGAATGTGCTAGTAAGTACATTACACCGAAGTAATGTGAAAGCGTAGACACATTGTGCACTCATTTCTTGGTCCTGCCTGTTGGCACAGACACATGGACCATGTGTAAGGCACAGCCTCCCTGCAAATAGGTTGCAGTCCAAAGCCTCTCTTATTAGTATTCAGTCCTGCAAATACTTGAGCATATTTAAAATTCCTTCTTTTTTTATCTTATGGCGCAATGAGTCACAAAATAAAGAAGACATTTCATATGTCAATTCACATTACTTTAGCTTCTCAAGTCTTGGGTTTTGGGAGCTGTCTTTCGATATGTGTATTCTCAGCATGGAGCTAGAAGTACACTTCTAATTGGACAGTGGGTGTCTGCAGYCTGGTCTTTTTGGGTATGGATCAGGCCATGTGGTGGGAGAGGGTCTGTGAAGGCTTGAGAAAATAAGCTGGGAGAAAAACAATTAYGTGCAAAGGAAGAACTAAGGACCAGCACATTTTTTTCACTATATCAGAAGGTGTCTTTGGGAAAGGAGGAGGTAGAGAGCAGATCTGGCTGTGATGATGTTTTCTTCTGGGTTGGGTTCAGTTCTTGTGCTATARGTTGATCAGTCTTAGTCTACTACAACGTTTTTCTTTCATAATCCTATGCATTACTTTGTTTTATATTTCAAAATGCAAAATGAATGGTATTTTTGAAGTGTAATATTGGCCCTTTTGTTCTAGAGTCATGTCCATGTTCAAGTGTAGMCAATTTGCAGGCCTGTTGTCCTGCCACGTACGTTGGCTAAGGGAAGCTCAGTGATTTGGAAGCTGTGTGTCTGTGTTAGCAGCTTATAAATCCTGCTCAGTGGTGTAGGCTGTTAGTTTAGGTGGGGTGCTTCACTTGTATGGCTACATTAAYTCAGGTCATAGTAGGATCCCACTGAGACAGTTCAGAGCATGGGCAGAGGCGAGTGGGAAGACATGCTCCAGTCAGTTGACTGAAGTCCAGCTCCTTTTGGTGTGATATTAAGAGTGTCTTTATTTTAATATGTCTGTATGCTGAAAGTAACTATTTTTTTTCCTCTTCAGTGCATGTGACCTCTGAACGAAATGCTAAGAAGAAAAGAAAGCTGACTACTGGAAGGGAAATTGAGGAAGGCATTAAGAGAAAAAAGAAAAAGAATAAACAGTATCAGCCAAATTATTTCATTTCTCTCCCAATTACTAATCCAAAGGTGATACTCTTTATTATACAATTTGGTACAACCAGAATTACTTCAACAGCTGCATGTGTTTRTAAGAATAGTGTTTGATATTATGCAAGAATTTTTTTTCAGGTATTTCTAAAGAAACATTAGAAGCCTCTTCAATGAGTAACTTTATGTAACATTTTTGTGAATAAAATTGCTTTCCTAGAAAAGACTGGAGGAAAAATACTTATGTTTTTATTCAGTTTGTCAGTCTTACGGATTTCACTGAAGCTGGCTGAAATTTCCCCTCTGTAGTGTTACAGTATTGCTTATTTTGTTGTTCATGTAGAATAAGGAAGAGAGACKTTCTTATTTAATTTAATAAGAAAATCTCTAGCAATAATTTTATCTTTCTTTATCCATACAAACTTATATTTGGATCTGTTACTGTTTTAACTTGGCAGTTTGTAGTTTATGGATTATGATAATTGTATAATTTTCTGTTTGTTTGGGGTTTTGGGTTTTTTTTTTAAGTTATGACTTATTTGATRTATTATCACTTCGTAGGTTAGCCTTTCAGGGTTCTCCAGTCTTGACTATSATTACTATTGATCTGTTAAATCTTTAAAGCTTTATATTTACTTACTTATTTACTAATATCCTCACAATAAGCAAAACTATGTTATTCTGTTACTCTTCAGAATAATGTGTTTCAAGTAATGGGAGAAGAGATCTTGAAATCAGTAGCTGAGGCCTTTTTTTGAGCACCTTTTTTTTAATTCAGAGGGAGGAATTGCTAGGTGTGATCCGCCTTCATTTTTTAAAATTAAGTTAGGACATCTCAAGAAAAAATAAATAGCATGACAGCAGTTGAAATGTAAAATAATACTTTGTAAGGTAATGGAAACAACAGGTCAAATAGCAATTTAAAGTTTTTATTTATGCAGTGGGTTGTATCTTGTTATACAGCCTTGGAAGAGTCCTTGTTTGCTTAATTAAAATTCAGTACACTCAAATGTTAATTGCACCTCAGATTTATTGGAGAAAACAGAAGTTGTGATATGCATTGTGATGGCACACCTGTTCAACAGCTGTTATGGTACATTTTGATCACATAACTTCTGGGAAAATATCTTTAAAATAAATTTCTGAAATTCAGAAAAATGTAGTAGAAAWTTTTTTTTTCTTTCCATATAATGTTGGTTTGTGCAGAGCATTGTCATTCAGCCAGAGAGAGAGAATGTGCTCAGCCTCGTTTTTATTTTACCTGGAACCAAAAGGAAGGTTTTTTTCTTACTTTCTTGGTGAATTCAGCAATGACTTTTCTCTGGAACTGCTAATTGGCTGTCTTTGCACTTAGCCCTATTACAAAGCCATGTTATTTGTTAGATTTTTAGCTTGTTTTCCTAATGGAGTTTATACAGCCATGAGCCTGTCCACTGGGCGTTTTGAGTTTTGAACCTGCTGTGGGTTTTCAACCTGTTGTCCAATTTTGGACAGAAAAATTGACATCCCAGAAATATTAATTTCCTACAGTTTTTGTACCATTGGTGCTTGYATAAAAGAGTGAGCCTTGAAAGAACATGCTTGTGTGGAAATAYTACTGAAGGAAACTATAGGAACATGAGCATGTGAGGTATTGGCTGCTAAACTAAATGCTGATCTAATAAATATTGATCTCTTTCAGAGCTAGGATGTTTTTTACTGCTATGATGACAGTTTCACRCTATCTTCTGTACTCTGAAGGGCTTGTACATCTATAATTTTTTCCTTTGTCAGCTCACACATGCAAATTAAATTTAGAAGCAATAGTTGAAAATGGAATAAAATTGTAATGAGTTAGTATGATAGTTGTTTAATTTTTGAGTTTTGTTTCTGTTTTTTGCTTTAGCTTATAAACTTAAATAATTATTCAGTCAATACATTGTAATTAGCAGGGATCATGTTTACCTATTCTTTGCTTAAATATGGGCTAAATTTCTCGTGTATCTGAGACAATGAAACTCTTATTTATCCAGGATAGGTCAGTTCTGACATATAAAGATGGTCTTATTACAACATGATTTATGATAACATGTTGGTGGAATTTTCTTCGTATGTCCTACACTGCCTAAGACACTTGAGGTTTTATAAATGCCATATCATTTTTTCTGGCAAGTAGCTTTTACGTTCCCTCCTCCTCCTTACTCTCCCTAGCATTGGTTTCTTTGAGTTATAATTTAGTTATATKACGCTACTAGTTATCCATGGCACATAAGGTAAAAGCTCTGCATGGCAAAACTCATCTTAAGAAATTCAGTCAAAAGAATACTGAACACTCCCATTAGATTGTGTGTTTTTTCCCATTTATGTGTTCCTTATGATTAACAGAGCTACCAAAATATATCAATGCTTTTTTATACCTAAGAGCTACTTGTGCTTATCTAATAAAAGTCAGTCTATACAGACTGTACAGTACATTTGTGAAGTATTCACCACTGAATTTCAAATAAGTAAACAACAGAAAAAATGAGATTGACATTTTCTACGCGCTTCTCTTAGACTTTATACACCAAAGATGATTTGTCTGTAATGTCTTTGCTCACTGTGCTTTTAGAAGTAACTAATTTTGTCAGATGGTCAAGGTTATTTGATTTAATTTCCACTAACATATTTGAGAATTGTTGCAGCTTTTTGGTGTTCTGTTTTTTAAATTGCTACCATACAGATAGCATAATGTCAAGCACAGTAAACATTTTGAATACAATTTATAGACCATGTATAAATATTTTTCAATTAAGAAAATGTAATTCCAGTATTTTTAAAGAGAAAGACTGATGAAGTTAGAACTGTATGCATGTTGTATGGAAATTTGTCTAAATATGTTTGAAGGGAGTATATGAATGGTATCTGTCTGTTGGACAATATAATCAGAATTGCAAATCAGATATCTACAAATTGCTTACTGAATATTCTGGTTTTGTATGTGCCCAGTCCTGCAAAGATCAATTTTTCCAGTCACTTTTCTGAACATAGCAAGATACAAGTTTAACAGAGTGAGCTAAGAGAAATTCCTTGAAGAAGCTTTTTATTGGTATTACCAGCAGCGTAAAACTAGTCTGCTTCAGGAGTTTATGATACTTATGGAAGGAAATGCTTATTAAGATGTGATGGGGAGTGCCCAGTGATTTATTAATCACTCMATTTGTACCCAGTTTGGATTCACTCAGGTCAATTAGCACAGCTTTATAGAGKATTAAACTTCCTTCTGCTAGAATGGTTTATACATAAATGTTTGCTTTTAGTTTGTGTGCTTTCGTGTTCACTTGCATGATGGGATACAGTAATTGTTGTAGTGGCTAACTGTTGTTTCTGTGTCTTTCTTCCCAGATTACTGGCAGTGTTCAGGCTGTTCAAGATGCAGTAATACTAAAGGATCAAAGGCTTTCCAAAGCAATGGTTCGCCCTGGCTCATTGCATGTCACCATGTTAGTGATGCATTTGTCCAGTAAAGAAGAAATTGGCATGTAKGTATTTAGTGTAAATTAAATATATATTGATATTTTTGCTTGATATGTTCCTAAATAGACTAGAAGGGTTAACTGACACTTTTTTTGTTCAATACACAGTCTTAGTTTACTAGGGTTATAGAACATCTAATTCATGTTGTTTTTAAAATGCTAATCTTAGCCATTTTCATAACTTATGGTATAGCATAAGCTCTGAACAAAGTATTTTTCCCTTGCATTTTTCTTACTGTGTGCTGAACTTGCATGCACAGATCTTGTCTTTGTTGAAGTAATTCTTTAAAAACAATATTTTGGTATAGGGGACAGGGGAATTCAAAATCTGTTAAAATGTAGATTGYTCATAAGAAGGTGAGAATCCAAGATAGAATGTTGTAACCATTTGGTACTCAAGGGCATGCTTCTAATAAGTAGAAGTATTTTGGCTGAAAGCATTTGACACACCTTACAATAATGAAAGATCAGTATCTTTAAATCAGTTACCTTGTTTGTTTTACACACTTATTTTCCTTGAATTCTATATCCTTGAGGCCTCTGTACTCCTACCTGTCCTGTGAAGATGCAAATTTGTCAGCATCTTCATCACCAACAGTCTGATCTAAGGGGAGAGAGACAGCCAGGAACAGAGAATAGCAAGGCAAGCAAAGGATACTAAATCTGGTAGATTCCCTTCCCTCTCCAGGTGCCCCTTGTTTCCTGGAGTAAGCACTGAAGTTTCCTCTTGCCTGGTTGATCAGCAAACTGTGATAGCACCTGAAAGCTGGTGAGAGCATCCACCAGCTGTTTATGTGAGATTTTTTTAAGAGTTTGAAGTACAAACTTCTTAAAAAGGGAATATGGGATGATACCTCAAAGCATATATGCCTCCTCATGAATATTTTTTAAGAGTCCAAGACTGTATACCAAAACAAATATTCTCAAATCCAGGCTCTTCTGCTACTCTATGAGCCCCTTTTCAGCTTTTAGTGTTTGAATGCCACCAAAGCACTGACTTACAGAGTTCTTCTCTGCCTCTCCCAGCAGAACTCTACAGTCCAGGCACTCAGGACTGTCTTCTAATCAGCAGCAGCTTCCTCAGAGATTCACCCCTTCCCTGGCCAGATGCCTCCTATAGGTTTCTAGCTCAGCTATCCTCAGGTATTCTAGACTGCATGGTCTTTTAAATGGGAATTCTAAAAATTTTTCATAACTGATGTTTTTTGTTTAGTATTTTGGGAGAACTCAAAGATAAAATGCTGCATTTTCCTTCCTTTTTTGCTTCACCAATTTTTGATACCAGGTTAAAGGAAAAAGCCAAGATCCAGGCTGGCAAAAGAACCTGTGTGTGATGTAGGAGAAGAGTAATCTCTCAAAGAAAGTACAGCTAGTCAGCTGGGTATATGAGAGTTCACAGATCCTTAGGTTTGGATCCATTAAGTTATTTAGATATCTGCAGTTTTTCAACTCTGTTTGCACAATAGTGCCTCTGTCTATACAGAAATGAAATGTGTTGAATGCTATTTGAAGTCAAATGCGTGATAAGAATGTGCTAAACATAACATTCAATTCGGCACAAAGCCCTTTGTATGGTATTTTAGTACATACAGCTTTCACTCTGAAAATGGAAGATCTGTATTCCAGGCCGCTCTTTCTAAGGGAATGCAGACCTGCCATTCCCATGCAAGTGATTGACTGTGGTSTAGCCTTCATGAATACACTATACATCCCCTTTTGTAGGATTGTATGAAATCAAAAATATGATATTTTGAAACGAGAAAGAAAGCAAGCAATCAAGAGTCATGACAGAACTCCCTTCAAGCAAAGAAGTTCTACTCTATGCTAACTGTATGCATAGGCATGGGATCAGGTCCTAGAAATCAGGATGCCTCCCTTTGCAGTAAATGCGTAGTTATGGATTATAGTGTCAAGTTTTTCTTGCTAGTTTCCTGTCAAAGACTCTGTGTCACCCATTACAAACAGAACTAAAGGAATTCAGTTTGGCTTTTTTGCTAAGATTGGTAAGATTTATAATAAATAATCAAAATTAAAACTCAGAAACTTCTGAAAGAAACTTCATTAATTTTAAGTGCTGCAATATTTACATTACAACAGTATAGAAAGAAAACAGGCATTGCTTCTATAATTCTAGCCTGTATTCACTTAGAATATGCTGCTTAATTTTTTTTTCCTTTTTCCACTTTAGATCATAGTGCTTGTAAACTTTTTGGGTGTCTCTGTGGATTAGTTGCACTAGTTGACATTGTAAATACTATTTGGTATGGAATAACAAGAAAATGCCACTGCTGTGTTTTTTGCTATTGACTTTAGTGGAAATGTTTGTCCTTGTGCATTATTCTTGCAAAGCARTTGTTATATTTTATAAAATGGTTGGTAGAATACAAAAAACAAGACAGCTAGAGTGAGATGGTAACTATTTTTCTACATAATTTAGGGTTTTCAAGATTATATATAAAAGAAAAAGTAGAACTAAATCTTCTATGCCACAGTGCTTAACTGAAAGCACCCTACAGTGTTTGAATTGACCTTTCACAGAACTCATTGGGTGGGCTTGGGTTGGTCAGTTGGTCAGTTCTGCAGCAAACCCTACAGTATGGAAATATAAATCTTTGTTCAGCTGAGGAACAGAGCTTTCTGTGACTTTCTGTTGACTAGTTTCTCACATGTAAAAAATCCAGAGATGGATTTTAGATACGTGCATGAATCACCACTTTAAAGCCTTCTGCAAGCTTTGACTCAGTGTATTTGAAATATCTGTACCTGGTTTGGACCAATTTTCAGGTTCGTGTTGGTTAATAAATCTATGTCTGCTTATGTGTGAAGTAATCTGACAGGTAGAACCAGTATTAGATGGTGTTTTTGAAAAATGTTGAGGTAGAGCACATAGGGAACACACAGGAACAGGCTTGTCTAACAGTGATAATAGGGTAGGTAAGTGACAGCGACTATGCTTAAAGTAAAATATCTTTTCCAAGGAACAAATAATGGCATTGTTGTTTAAAATGGTTATAAAGGAGCTAAAGTACTTCTGGTCATAGATTAAAGCTCTATAAAAAAAAAAAAAGGAGGACTCTATCAAAGATGGATATTTTGTTATGTAATAAACCTATACGAGTTTCTTAACTTGGCCTGTTAAGGTTCCAGTTAATGCATAAGTTCACATCAAGAGTCCACATTGTTAAACACAATGGAAACTTGTAGAGCTTCTTGTAATTGTACAGGCTTCAATGATATAATTTAACCTACTGTAGAAGTCATGGTGATAGCTTTCATCCAGCTAGGAGAGACAAAGTAAAAATACCTTTGAGCGTTTTTAACCTATTACTGCCATCTAGCGTATATAAAGTCTTCATTGGTTTGGTGAAAAGATTAAATTCAGTTTCATTGAATAGAAATGAAACTGAATTTGTTTAGCATTTGAATCACTTTAAGTACAGGTCAAAATAATTATTTAATGTAATTGTACATACAACTGATATGGCTAATTAATATGAATATTAAAAATTTACTGGGCTTGTACCCTGTTATTCCAATTACTGTGTGCGTGTCTCTTAGCTCTTACAGAAAGTAAGCATAAATTGAGATAGTACTTCTCTTAATAACAGTTCTTAATGACCTTAATTGTAATTTCCATATAATTTTATTATTATATATGTAATGTCACATCTGTATAATTTAACTAACAGTASTAACTTTGAAGCAGAATCTCAGTTCAATTTACATATCAGGAGATGAAAAAGTTAATTGATTTAAGAATGAAAAACTAAATACTTCTGAGTAATCATCTTATTTAAATGGCATGCACAAAGTAATAGGGACATTGTCGTCTTAGTATCTGGATGCCCTGAAGATGGAGATAAACTCTTTTGAGGAATTATACATGCTGCTAAGTCTGCCTTATTACTTCTATGGTTTTACATACACTGTATGAACCACTTTGCCTTTATAAAAAGGTGGTGATAATAGTAAATGATAATAATGATAGCTGTATTGATAGGAAGAAGTACGAAAGTACCTGAGTAGATAATAAATGGATACTAAAAAGCTTTGTTACTTTTTTGTATAATGATCAATAGCAATATTAACARCAGAAATATATTTGACATTGATGTTTTCTTTCCTCTTGACAGAGCAGTTGGTGCTCTTTCAGACAGCAAGGTTTTTGTAAACAATCTCCTGAAAGGAAAAAGAGTGGATTTGTCTTTTCGAGGAATTGATCACTTCGGAAATCAAGTTGGATTTGTGAGTTTGGCAGAAAATGATCATACAACRCTGCTTAAGGAAATAGCAGGTACAATTTGTCAATCCAGTTTAAGTGTTTTAAAGRCTTTTTGACAACCTAAACAAGAATGGAGCACAAAGATAAGTTGGTGCTAATTTAGTCAATACTAATTTACCTTTAATAACTGTAAATGCTACATAAATCATTTTCTAGCCTATTTTGCGTAGTTCAAAAGGATGTTAATGAATTATAGACAGTGCTGTTCTCTGATAACTTTTTATTTAGTATATGTAAAAACATAGTACAGATTTGTAAATGGGATGTAAAGACTCCATTCTACCTTGTTTTGGTCCCATTTTTTTATCTGCCTATGAGTCTATACTTAAACTATGTTGTTTACAGATACTTAATAAAAATTCTCAAAGAACAGTACTGTCTATAATTCATTGGTGTCCTTTAAAACTATCCCAGCAATTCCAACTATTCCTTGGAAAGACTCTTTAAAAGAGTTTTTCAGTATTGATGAATTATCTTTTGTGCTCTGAGGAATTTGAGGTCACACCATTTTTTAATAGTGCAATAACCCATATAGGACATTTTGCAGAGTAGCAAAGACAGCTGCTGTCACACTACCTACCTCCTTGCAGTACAGAGGGAAAAATGGAAAAAGTCTTTATTCATGCAATGTTTTCTCTAGCAATTCATTAGTTTAATTTCTGAAGTGCAGCTGATTTGACCTTTTACAAAGAYCTGAGTTTAATTTATTAAATCACTGTTTTGCTACTTCAAGATTCTGTATGGTTTCTGCCATATTCTAAGGTGATTTCTGACTTGATGTGCTATTCTGTGTTGAACATGAATGAAGGAGAAATATTTGTAACATAAGCAATAACAAACAGATGAAGTTAAATTAGCTTCTAAATGATAGGAAACCATTTAGTTCCATAAATAACATAGAAAATTGTTTGATAATAGTAACATCTGATTGTGGTCATTGCATGTCTGCTAATATCAGTGTAATGTAGGTTTGCCAGAGATTAAAAGTCACGGAAAAGCACAGCTATTGGGAATCTTCTGTTTGTTCTGATTTGCTAAAATCCATTAAAAGAAGTAGTATAGGTAGATAATTTAATTATCTACCGGGAATAGTGCTAAACTGTTCTGACAGAAGTTTGAGGAGTATTTTAATAACTCTTTGTCAAAGTTTTTTAGAAACCCTGTGCTTGCAGTGACATATACACTTACAGGACTCTTTTAAAACCTTTCTTTCTGTGCTTTGCTGTGCCACAGAATATTTGAAGGACTGTTATGATTTAGTCCCAGCCAGCAGTTCAGCCCCATGGAGCCACTCGCTCACTCTTCCCTGGCCTGTTGGGGCAGAGAATCAGAAGAGTAAAAGTGAGAAAACTCATGGGTTGACATAAAGACAGCTTAATAGGGAAAGCACAAGCAGARCAAAACAAGGAATTAATTCACCACTTCCCATGGGGACTCACGTATTCAGCCATCTACAGGAAAGAAGGGCTCCATCATGCTTAAGAGTGACACGGAAACACAAAATGCCATCCTCCTTCCTTCTTCTTTCCCCAACATTATATATRCTGAGGATGACACATATAGTATGGAATATCCCTGTGGTGAGTTGGAGTCAGCTGTCCCAGCTCTGTCCCCTCCCAGTTCCTTGTGCACCTCCAGCCTGCTTGCTGGAGAGGTGGGCTGAGAAACAGGAAAGGTCTTGGCTCTGTGCAAGGGCTGCTCAGTAGTAACCAAGATATCCCTGAACAGACATTTTCTGTTCAGCACAGATCCAAAAACTAACCCTACACCAGGTACTATGAGGAAAACTGCCCCAGCCAAAACCAGCACGACTACTAAATGAATTTGGAAAAGACAATGAATTGTTTGGCTTTGATTTTTATTTAGATAATTATATTGTAAATGTCATTTGAAGCTGATAGAAGTGGATAAGGGAATCCTCTTTTTTACCTGCAGGATTTGCAGATTTTGATTTTATGGATTAATGATGCATGTTACGGTCTGACCATGAGAGGGAGCTTGCATCTCATGAACAGAAAGGTTATTCTTCTTTGTGTTTTTAAACACAAATATTTCATTTACATTTGGTCTTTTGCTTTTAAGAAATGTTGATTTGTTGACTTAAATATTTTAATACAGTTAGGACTGCACTAGGCTGACATGTAGTACAACTAACTCAGTAATTTTCTTTAACTTTAGTTGTATATAAATGACATTTAATCTAATCTCTCTAAATTGATTTCCTAACAGTCCACATTAGAGAGAGAGACAGACAGACAGACAGAAATGGAAAGCGAGTCATACTGCCCATCTTCTCTGAATACACTGCAGCTTTACTCAAGCATTAACTTACATTGCCACCATACCAATGCAATCTGACCCCTTTGTGCAGCCACATGCTGAATTCAGCCATGGTAAAATTAACATTTTTACCTTTGCCAGCTAATTTTTAGCCTATTTGGTGTGCCCATGCAGTTTACTCTATAACTACGTAACTGTTGGCATGAAAGATAGGAGCAGCAGCATGGAGCTGGAGAGGAACAGTCTATTTTGTCAAGGATGATGGTTATGAGCTTCATCAAAGATTGTGAAACCACACATTTAGCATCCATTTGAGGGTAAATTACATTGCCCTCACTTCAGACAGCCTAGGGAAATAGTTTAATTCAGTTAATTTAGTTCACTTTAGTTACAGATGGCTGAAGCTATGGTAAATGAATTTTGCCTCTTGTCAGTTATTCTTAGGTCATTTCACATGATGAAAAAAATTAGAAACTCAAAGGTATTTTCCATTAGAACAACTGATTTGTACTAAGTGAACAAAAAGATGGTAGTYCAAATTGCTGTTGTTTAGTCAGGTGGGACTTGGAAGTATGATTCTCTGAAATCATGCTGAAAACAAGAACAGCAAATGCTTTTAGATTTTAATCTACATCCTTTTTCATATTGTGTGCCATACACTGAATTGCAATAGCTCTGATAAGCAGCTCATTAAAATGAGCCATTTCTTTTTGTGATCATAACAAGCTCATAGGAAGCATTAGCATGTATTGAAGCCAGTAAAACTTATGTTTCTGTTTCAGTTTAGGACTTTGCCCTCACATTGTCACTGCCTTGTAAGGGTTACCTTATGTATTGAGATATGTGCACAGTGGGGACTGCTTGGTTGATCCAGCTGCTCCATGGATCCTACTTTATGAACAAGCTCATCTTTCTTCTGTAGATGTGTGTGGTAATGGAGGGAAACAAAACAACCTACACATACTCCTGATGAGTACTTGAAATAACAGTATGGCTTGCTGATACATGGCAGGGSTCTGGTACAGTGACAGCTCACTGTAGAAAAGCCCAACTAACACGTAATCAAGGAGCAGTGGAGAAACTGTTGGGAAATTGGCTTGACTCTGGCTTACCTTTTGGCCCATATCTTAAAAAACCCTAAGAACGTAAGAACTTGAACATAGCTTAACATGATAATTCCAATTTTAAGTTATCTATGCTCAGCTTTTCTTCATTTTCAAGTGTAAAGTCAAAAACTAATTCAATGAAGAGACAGAATACTGTTTCTAAATTAGAAAGCTTTTAATTGAAAGAATGTGGTTTTGATACGAGCAGAAATKGATAGTCTGGAAGAAAACATTTATGTAGCAGGTTTCTTTATCTAATGAAATCTTGAGAAAGAAGATGGCCATTTGTATCACAGAATATGGCTCAATATACAATTTTGCTGTGAATTGTTGTGTATTGATCTAGCTGTTGAATTTTTGAGCTTTTCCCATGTAAAGTGGTTCTGAATATGCTTCATATATCACATTTCCATTCTAATTAGAGGGAAGGAGTTGTCTAATGGATTCAGCTGCATCCAATGTAAGAGGCAGATGACATTCAGTAATTCTGACATTATAAAAATGAGGTACAAAATGGTATTACAGAGTACTTCAAACTGCATGAAAGGCAGTCTGAAAGCTGTCCAAAAATTTGTTCCAGGAAGTCATTGAGCTTGTAAAAATAGCTTCAACATTTCTAGGGTATACTTTGAAGCTGCAAACATCAGTCAGCCTGAGGCTAATAAAGGAAAACATAGATTTTGTTTGATTTTTCAGTGTAAGTAGTAATGATCATGTCTGGAGGAAAGATGGAGTATCCTCATTTGTCAAGACCCCTGGGCATTGTCTATCTATGTTTCTCATCACTGGCCTCAAATTTCTTTCTGTTCAGGCAATCATCATCATAAACTTTTGTGCATTTGCCAGTCGACAAATCCACTTTYATGCTGTCTCACAAGCCTAGAACTTTCTCTTGCCCACAGCATCCAAGTGTCCTTCCCAGTTTCTGTTGAATCCCTTCTTGTAGCCACTTCTTCAAGGACCTGCATGAATATTAATAGCTTTACACTATCTTGTAACCTTTATGTTCTCTCAGGAAAACACTTATTTTTATTTCATTTTTCCCCCTCCACCTACTCAGATTTCTATTTTCATTATTTTTGAAGAAAGAAGCACTGTGTTAATTATGTTCATAAGTTACCTTAACCAGTAAAATGTCACACACTGTGTATATGTCAAATTTTACAAAACAGGGGCTATCTGTAATCRCAGCAAGCCCAATGTCTTGAGCCTGTGATGTTTAATGTCTCTGCTGTGACAAAGCTGTGGGAGAAGTCTGATACCCGTGAGAATGTGTGTAGAAACATACACGTAAATCTGTTAAATTTAAAACTACAGTCCCTTTCTGTGTGCTTATCTCCTCTGACCCCAGTTTTTGTTGKTTTTTTCTTGATTAGAATTGTCAGGTATGAAAGAGGAATTTGGAAAGATAAATAGAAAAAATATTGAACAAAGCTATTTCATGTATAATGAAGACGGGCAGGCCTGTGGTTGCTGTTCAGAGTGTAAAGTGCAGGTGCCCAGCTGTCCCACCCAATTCCCACACAGTCACAGCCCTGTGTGRTTGGTCTGCCCTGCTGAGATCCCTGGGTTCACAGTCCCATGATCAGAGCCACATTGGCAGACCTCTGCTCTGATACTAAGCTCTTTCTGGAGTTAGCAGGGGACACCTGGGAGGTGTAAATCTTCATCAGCACAAATCCTAATTTCAGAGTGTGAGATAAGACTGCATGGCATAAGATGTGATAGCAGAAAAAAAAGTGGAGCTTTTAGAGGGAAAAAACCCAAGATTACTATGCACAAGGCTGAGTCAGAACATCACATGGGTAAAACTGGGTCTGATAAGATTTACCCTTTGCTGGAACATCAGTGTCAATGGGTCCCCAAATAGTGCCATTGAGAGAATAGACACAGGAGCCAGAAAACTTACTGGGGATTCGGTGTAAATTTAGAATTAATTCCCATGGACAAAGTTTAAAATTATATAAGTAGGTCAGCTGTACTTGTGTTGTTGGCTTCCTAGTGTGATGCTGTTTCTTCCACATGGGAGAAGAAGGACTGTTGAAGTGTCAAGTAAAAAAATATTTAAATGAACATACATCATTATGTTAAAGGCTGATTAAATTTATGTGATAGGATGGATAATTTTTTCCCCTATTTTGATTTTAGTTTGATTTTATCAGTCAGCAAGACCTAGACCTAGTGAAAAATTGGAGGTTGTACTTACAAAGAGAACTAAAATGTTTTGCAGTCTTTCTGTTTTTCAGTAATATAAATACTCTATTTACAAGTATTAGTTTTACCACAGGTTTTCCGATTTTATCTAAACTTTTTCCAAAGATAATATTTTCTTGTGAAGTATTTAATCTAAAAAAAGACATGGAACATAATTCAAAAGTTACACTGAAATTTATTTCCCAGAAATTAAACATTACATTGGGCAGATGAGTTGGGAAATAGTAAACTAGGTCAGTGTTGTTGAGTTGCTTTGACTTAAGACTTTAAACAGATAAAAGTGTACATTAAAATAGGAAATTAGCTTAGAAGGCAACAGTGAAGCTTTAAAACCCAAACAAAAAATCATCAGTATACCTGGTATTTTCTCTAATGCTGGCATGTAAATCAAATGCCAAAATGTAGAGGAAGCTTTTTTTAGAGCTTTCACCTCCAAATTTCCTTTGGTCTGAGTGGGAGATTATCCAAATACAGATAGTAGAATTCACCATGGGATAGTGTTTTTGAATAGAAAATTCTATTACATACTCAGTTTTCCTGAAGTTTCCCACACTTCCAGTGAGAGTGAGTCCTGAACAGTGCTAATGTTGATATCCTATTTTAACACCAAACTCTGACTCCATGAATTCTAATTGCCATTATTTAACTTATACTAACTGCAAATTTAACTGATTTAACTGCAAATATAGGACCATTTTGACACGAAATAATATATACTTCTGAAGAAATAATATATACCTTTGAAATGAAGTAGAAATCTTCCTGCCTTTTAGTACTCATTGTCTAGTTTCTTCCATGTGAAGTAGCCGTGACTAAAATTACATTTGAAAGCACACTTTAAGCATTCTATTATGTAATAAACTTTGTACTTCTACATTTTTCTCCTCCCATCAGACACTATGAAGAAGATATTTCAAGAAAAGGGGATCATGGCAGGAGAAGAAAGAGCTTTTAAACCACATCTAACCTTCATGAAGTTATCAAAATCAGCAGAGCTACGTAAGGAGGTGAGCTCACATTTCACATAGATCAGCAGTAATCTAGAAAGTTTAATTTGTAGGTGAACAAAGTGTTGCTTATGCTATAGCATCATGCTTTCTACTTTGGAACTGAAGAGGTAAGACTTCAAAATACCTGTGTTTTTTAACAAATAATTAACATAACTTCTATATAAACAGTAATCCTGTACTGTGATTTACCACTCTTGATATTCTCAGTGCAGTAATAATCATGGTCTGTTTCCTGCTGGGAAATTAGGTAAGACCAAAGGATAAAAATACTTGTTCTGAGTTACAGAATTCCCATTAGGGGGTAGATTGTATGGATACAATTTGTTTGCAGAGTTTGTTACTGTATAGGAGAGAATGAACAAATAAACAGTAGAATTTCTGTTTGGATTATGCATAGTAGGCAGACTGTTAGTTCCCTCTACTGAATATGTTTTGGTGAATTTCAGAGTAATGAGGAAAAGCTGTATTAATATATATATCCTATAATGTAATACATCTTCTATATTCTCTCTTGCAGGAAGTTATTTCTTGCCTACTTATTAGGTTTATTTACAAAATACACAAATACATGAAAATAGGATATAACTCTGGTTAAAATATAGAGAAGCAATATTAATGTAATTATTTTTTGTTTCATACTAATTTAACTGTAATACTGTATTATTTAACACAAGGTATATGTCCATAATTTTTTTTACTGACATTGTGTAGAATGTTCTATGGGATCCTTTAACATTGACTAAGAAAATAAATTTCAGACAAAAAATATTTAAAATAAGAATTAAAGTACATAATACAAATACTTTAAGCTGCTCTTTTCCTTATTAGTGGCCATTTAAAAAAGAAAAAAAAAAACCAAACTTTAAAATCTATTTAGAAATATCTCTAAAAATTCTGAAGGTGCATGTAGTATTTTGAAATCAGTTGGAAGAAGGCAGTGAGATTGGAGATRCATGAAGAAAATTCAAGGGTATGCATGCTTGCTTTAAAACGGGATCAGGACTTATCCACAGGATGAGGATGCAGGTGGTATATGATAAAGATTAAATTTATAAACTCACAGAAGCTTTTGCTTGTATTGCCAGTTGGGTTTTTAGAATGCTAATTTAAAAAATCCACAGATCTTCTAAAATATCAGCTATTCAGTGATTTAAYTGGTTAAAACATCTGAGACAACCAGGGTGGGGGTTTTGCTGTTCTGTTTTTTTTATTGTTTTTTGGCTATTCGTTTGTTTCATTTATATTTATCTACCTTCCATGAAATATTAGCCAGGATACATCCTTTCTGTGTTCTGATATTCACTGCTGCTGACAGAACCAGGTCAATGTCATTCCTAATCATCTTCCTGAGCCCTCCATAATGCTGGATAATGCATATGATCTGTATAGAAAGATACTGTGTATTAAAAATCTGTACGTTTTTCTCGGTCAATGCAGTGTCAAGCATAAGCATCGGTCTTTACTATAATTTTTTCTTTCATTATGTTCATACATTTAGTTAGACAGTTACATGCATTTACAGAAAACAGTAAATAAAAATATGTATCATGAAAGGAATAACTATTTTGCAGTTCATTCTAATACAATGCCTAATTGCATTTTCAGATCATACAACAATATGAAAAGCAAGAAAGGGGGAGTGGATGAAGGTTACATGAGAAGCATATAAAAGGGCAAATAGCACTAAAGTGGTTGAGTACAGTTCTCAGCTATAGCTTTATCACTATATCAATTTATTCTTTAAATGTAAGCTTTCTTATTTGACCTCCTCACAATGACATCTAAATTCCACCAAAGTTATATTTTGGGGAAAAAAAATCTGTTTTTTAAACCTTAATATAAATGCAGGGATTTTGAAATGCATATATTCTGAAGAGATTTTAACTTTCCCAAAGTTAAAAACTGTACTTACAAAGCAAAGAGTTAGAGAATTCAGAACTAGTAAAGATCTCAAGAAAACAGTTTTTCACTTTGAAGGCACATCATTAAGCTAAAAATGGTAAATCTAAAAGATTTGGAAACAGATACTAATAAAGGATGAAAGTCTGAAATAAAGTGGATTAGAAAAGAGCTATCTGGTTTACTGTACCCCCTTCAGCTTCTCAGATGAAAGGACTTATTTACCTACTCAGAAGTGGGACCGACTCATTCTTCATGCTTAGTTGGACATTTCTCAGATTAGATGTGCCACTGAAAATTTCCCCAAAATCCGGAGATAAAGTATGCATTTGTGAAGGAGACAAAGGAGACAAAGGGATATAATTTACTTGCACATGTTTAGCTATTTCCAGATTTATTTGAACGGTAAGAATCTTGAGTTAGTATCACTATTTTCCATGCAAAGAACCTAATGAAGCACAATAAAAGAAGCAACTGGAGTTTTGTATTTGAAGATAACGTTTCTATTCTTGCTTCCCTTACTAGCCTACTAAGTTGCCACTAGTCAGTCATAACCCCTCTGTTTTTAATTTGTCCAGACTCCTGTTTATTTCAGGATGTGTTGTGAGGCACACTTCATAAATGCTGTATGACATTTGGAGGTCCTTTGATACCTAGTGCTGCCAGAACTGCAAATACTGGGAAATGAATTTTATAAGTAGAAGATGACTGAAGCTAAATTGCACTGATGGCATCTGCTTAATTAGTGCAGAGTATATSCCTAGCCTAAACAGTGGTTGACCACCAAAAATGCCAAAAATATAATTTATTCATCTTTCCTATATTATATTCTTTTGTATAGTATATCTTTAGAGTGCTGTATGTATAGTTAGTAAAAGAGAATATATTCGTGAGAAAAATGTTTGCATTTGCATCATTTGTGTGCATTGCACAAGGCCTGATTCACTGTTACCATTCAACTTCAATAGTAACATCATCAAGATACCAGATATTATTGTGCAGACAGTATTATTATTATGATTGCACAGGAAATAGCATTAAATGCATGATTCAGTCATTTATTATTGTATTTTTTAAAGTAAATGATGTTAAATTATGTCACTTTCCAGTTTCATACAGAAATAACAAGGTACTTATTTTGTAGTAATAATAATAATTTTCTTCATCAAGGAGAAATTTCCACAATGAAACAAACCCAAAGCAGTRTCTCTAATTTCAAGTCTTTTTGATGTGTGCTGACATTCATTTTTTGCTATCTTCAGCTAGATATACCAGATAACATGTTTAATACCGATAGTTATGAAGGGGAATTAATTTTTTCTCATGTAAATTTTCTCTCAGTTTATGTAACATTAATATTTTGGGCTTCTTGAAATGGCGTGTATATGAGAGATGTAGAATGTCTTTTATTAGCCATAATATAAGCAAATTTTTGTAGACAGTAAGCTGTCTAATGTCTCTTCTGTCTTATTTACATGAGGAATCTCAGGCACTTACCTGGCTGCAGGAAAGGTTATTGGTTTGATAGTTCTTAGATACAGCTCTTGCATAATTAATTTGTTAATGAATTTTCCTCCCATATGCATACATAAAATACTGTCTTCAGTAAAGATCCTCTGTATGACAAGAAAAGTGAAAGGAATCCTCCCTTTGTGGTATTTATCCTCAAATGTTAATAGTAATAAAAAAAAATAGAACAGAAGACGTGAATTTCTCTCTTACATTCCTAGATCTGTAATTTTGCCTTTATTTCTACCTATGTGTCTGTACTACATAGTTCTATCATACAGGACCTTAAAGAAGAGAGCATTTTCAGTAAAACCAAAGCACTTCTGTTTATCAGTATCACTGATTCTGACCACCAGCATTCTTTTTTATAATAACTCTTGGGATCTCTGGCATTTTGGACACAAAAGCAGGTATAAGAAAAGTCACAGAGCCATTAAATCCCTCTGTATTTCCACCTACCGGCCTCTATGTCAGCGGTTTCTATTGTGACAACTTACTGACTGGTACAAGAGTTTGAGGCACATATTTATTTGCAATCTTTAATGCTGATCCTAAAAATGGTCAAATAACCACTTTGGCACAATACAAAATAATAAACACTTTCCTTTCGTAGTCCAGTAGAAATGCATTGTGATTTTTCTACAGTATATTTTTTTAATCTGGCGTTCCAACAACAGGGACAGACAATGCACAAACTGGGTGACCCAACAGCTGGAAGAGGTTCTTTACATTCTTTTCTTCCTGTCTTCCTGCATTCATATTATACACCATATTGCAGAGATATATAACTACAGTACTTGCTTTAAGCAACAAGAAGGAATGATGTAATTACAGACAGTCTGTTACAAGCTAAATGTCCTGTGAGGTGTTATGTCATAGTGATCATTCTTTAAAGTACCAAACTCTCCATGGTAGACACAATGCCATGAATATACCCTTGTTACAGGATAGAGGCTGCAGAAGGCAGCACCTCTTTAGACATGAACTCTTCCAAGTCCACTTGGGGATCATCAAGGTCTAGGCAAAGAAACTTTTCAACAACAGACTTGCATTTTTCCATTCGATCTTCTTTTGAAGGATCATCAAGACGTTTGATAGGTTTTCCGTTGCGAATCAGTTCTGATACTTCCACTCCTCTTTCAATAATTTTGGCTGGCATTCCTGCTAATGCAGCAATGTTGGCAGCATGACTAACAGTGGACATGCCCTGTTTGATCTGATAGAAAAATATCAACTCCTCACCATCCTGGTGGGTTTCCATGGTCAGATACTCCAGAAGAGGTGTGTCAGGCAGGAGGTCTAGCTGCATTAAACTGTGAAAATTAGTGGAAACAAAGACCTGTGGACACTGTGTTCCCTGTCTGATCCAGTACCTGAGGACAGCAGCCAGAAGGGACAAACCATCCAGTGTGTTGGTCCCTTTACCAAACTCGTCAATTAGCACAAGGGACCTCTCCGTGGCATTGTTTACGGCCTTGGCAACCTGGTTAAGGTCAATCATGAAAGTGGAGAGCCCTACAGAAACCGATTCCCTACTGTGGATTCTTGTGTAAATCCCATCAATTACTCCAATCTCTGCCTCTGCTGCA